AAAATGCTTTCTTGTCATGTCCTTTAATGTCAGTGCCTACAACTTCTCCATAAAAAGCTTCTCGCCAGCATCAATAATTAATTGAATATTTTCTTCTATATTTTTTATCACGTAGCTACTTATTATTAGCATTGTTCTTCCGATGTCTGATATCTTCTTAATGATAGGAAATATATTTTTATGAGGTACATAAACTTTTGGTATTGTCTATAGCCAATACATCCTTAATCCTTCCCTACTTCCACTCCATCATTCAGGCTGTTTGCTACCTGAACTAAATCCAAAAGGATCGAGAACGTGAAGCTTGTAAAGTATTTGAATAAAACAGAAAGAAACGGAATGTGCAATAAACGTCGATGAGAATTTTCACGCAGGGATGTGGTACAAAGGTAAATGGACGAGGGCCAGCCAGTGAAACGGACGGTAATAGCTGGCTTTGCCAACAAATTGAAACAGTTTACGAGGTGTTGTCGGAATAAGCAAACTCTCGCGTGTTGCGCTTGGTTGCCTCGAAGCGATCATCACCGTCCCCAAACTTGGGCTCTCGCGTTGTTCCGAGGGGTGGTTTGATCGCCGGCTATCAAACGCTATGCGAGTAATTTAGGCGGTCGCCTCGATGCTCCGCGACGGAAAGAAGATCGTTTAATTCAATAGGAAACACAGAAATGGAATACTGATCGTAATAACGTGAATCCTCCTCTCCAATAAACGCATTTTTTAAAAAGAAATCAGACGTCGTAAGGACATTGCTAATAATAAACAACAAAAAAAAATTTTCGATTTTTCCGAGATTGTTCCAAGGGGTACCCCTTCAATTTCTTCCAAATTTTCGTTTTTGGCCAATAACTTCCAAATCGTTGGACATACGGAACAATTGCATATGACCTTTCTTGTAGAGGACGATGAGATCTACAATTTCCATGTAAAAAATTTTCGCTAGCGTCAACAGGTAACGAGTAATTTGCAAAAAACTGTTTTTTCGTTTTTGGTCAATAACTCGTTAAATATTAATGCTAGGGAAAAAATTTATACAGAAATTGTAGATCTCGTCGTCCTCTACAAGAAAGGTCCTATACAATTTTCCCGTAGATTCAACGGTTTAGGAGTAATTAAGGAAAAATGAAATTTTTTGCCAAAAGTTCGCCGTTTCGATGCTGGGATGGTCGGGACATGGATGATGATGGACTCGGGATGGGACAAATAAAATGAAACTTCCATTTTATTTTTGTTAGAACAGAGTCTCGTCTCCTTTGTACACTTTTTATCGTACGATCTGCCCTGTTCATTAACTTCGACCAGAAGAATATTCAAGAAAGTTTCAACGGAAGCGGACTAAAGTAACGACGACAATAAGAGCAGAATGGCTTCTTCGTGCTCGTGGAAACATGGGTCACGGAGTAACGATGCCCGATTCATTCGAAGCACTTAACTTAATACGACATAGCAAACAAGTTGAACAAACTTCCACCCTGTTCCAACCGCGAATAGTTAATAGCTGATGCTGGACCGTCTGAGAAGTTTATCCAAGTCGATACAGCGTCGCTTTGTTCCCTGATGATCAACAAGAAATTGCCGTTAGGCGGATGTAAGGCGACTTGGATCCGAGCTTCGTCATTGTCAGTCGGACCTTCAAAATTGTTTTTAAGATTTAACACTAGAAAGACTGAAACTTAGTATATACCTATATTGCC